TTAAAATTAGAGCTTGCTGTGAAATAACGAGATATACTACATTTAGGTTGCCATGTTGTTTTGATAAGTTTTTTTTTTTTAAGAACTTCTCTTCAAAAAACACCTCCAGGGCTTCCCTGGTGGCGCAGTGGTTGAGAGTTCGCCTGCCGATGCAGGGGACACGGGTTCGTGCCCCGGTCTGGGAAGATCCCACATGCCGCGGAGCGGCTGGGCTCATGAGCCATGGCCGCTGGGCCTGCACGTCTGGAGCCTGTGCTCCGCAATGGGAGAGGCCACAACAGTGAGGCCCGTGTACCGCAAAAAAAAGCAACCAACCAAACAAACAAAAAAACCATCTCCATTGGTGATTGTTGCACAGCTTTGTGAATATAATAAAACCCACTGAATTGTACACTTTAAAAGTGTGAATTATGTGAATTATGTCTCAATAAAACTGTTATTAAAAAATTCCACTGTACAAAATGTTTTCATAGGTGCAAAGTAATAGAATTTCAATTTATATTCACAATTAATTTAAAAAAATTGTTAACCTTAATAAATGTTTAAAGCTTTAGAAATATGAAATTATGTATGACTTAAGAAAATAATTTGTTCTTATTCAATAGTAGCATATGTTTATTATAGAAACTTCAGAAACTCTAGATAAGAAAAGAAATTTTAAAAATGTGTGAATATTTTAATTCACATCTATCCTGTATTCTGTCCCTAAGCTTTCTCTGTACTTAACTACTTCCTTGGTATCCACACTTTTCCTGCCAGCTTTCATTATTTATTTAAAATTTATTATTTTTGGCTGCGTCAGGTCTTAGTTGTGGCACACGGGCTCTGTAGTTGTGGCATGTGGGCTCTGTAGTTGTAGCATGCGGGCTTAGTTGCCCCGCAGCGTGTGGGATCTTAGTTCCACAACCTGGAATTGAACCTGCATCACCTGCATTGGAAGGCGGATTCTTAACTACTGGACCACCAGGGAAGTCCCGTTGCCGGCTTTCATTAATAATACATAGCTTTTCATGACCATCTTAGGAAAACAACCAGTTGTAAAACTATCTTCTTATAAGAGTAAAAAAGCATTGAAAGCATTGAAGAGTAAAAAAGAGTGAAAGCATTGGCTTTTTTTCCTGGACTATGAGAGGTGTACATGAGCAATGAGATCATTATCTTAAAAGAAATACAATAAATATCTTGCAGAGTAGCTTCTGAAATACAGTAAGCTTGGGATTTTGCTGTAAAATTTTGCTTTAAAACATTTTGGATTTAAAGTGAAAACTCGGAATGTTTGATAAATAGTATTGTGGCATTGGTTCTTGTGTAGATGGTATATTTTCTTTTAAACTTTTGTTACCATTTTTAGCATTAACTTTCTAGCAGCTAAAATTGTTCAAAACATAGTTTAAAGATAAATGCAGTATCAGGCTTTGAATTTTTTTTTTTTTTTGGTAAATACTAAGACCTGAGTACAAAATGAGGGCTGTATTGTGGATTAAGTGAAATATCTTAAGGCTGTGCTGTTCTGATAACTGAACCTGAAGTGACCTTTCTCAGACACAATTACAGAGCTGTATGTTTTTCCTTTAATTTCATCAGGGGTTTAATTAGTATACAAATAAAACTTCCCTTATCTTCCTTTCTACCTAATTGGCTTGTCTTCGCTTATATATGAAGTATGTGAAAGTGGGCTGTAATTAGGGTGACCGTGTTAACCTTTTTTCCTCAAATGTACTGTTGCCTAAAGGCCTCAAGGCCTAAAAACAGTGCTTTGTATTATTGCTTTGCAATCGCTATGGTTGTCCCATAGGTTTTCTCATGAGCAGAAGGGCTTTGGGTGCTGCAGGTTCCCACTGCTTAACAGGATCTTCATTCTTCTCCCCACTAAATGTTTATTGATTATCTTGCTGTTCCAGGCTCAGCCTCCAACAACTTAATATCAGGTGACAGTCAGGAGAGTTCTCCAAGTAATTAGAGTTGAGCATTGGGGGAACAATTAGGAGCAGAGTTATTAAACTTGATTTATCCTATTCTCCCCTGAACAGTTTCTTGGATATCAGGACATCACACTTTCACAGTCTGCCCTGGTTGAGAAATTAGTGGCTAACCTGCTTGCTTATCATCATTGCCTAGCTGCCCAGAGGTACACCCTCTTGGTTTCAGTCCTTCAGCTGGAAATATTAGAGTCCATAAAGTTTATCATGGGTTTTAATTAGATAAATCTGAACGGGAGAAAAGAAAAGCTGAAGTTAAAATTTTATATGTGTCTGTAATATATATTACATATGGTATAGGTACGTATGTATATACATCATATATATACACACACACATGAATATGTTTTTCTTTTTTTAAAGCTTAGTGTTAGGATGTTTAAGGATTCTACTTTTGTCTCAAACACAAAAAATGTGAACATCAGAGAAAAGACATATTACTGAATCACTTTTTATGTCTTGGTGTTTTGCATACATCACCACGAACCTTAGGACTCATTGATGTATATAGATTCCATTGTGATGTTCCTCAGCTCTTTAAAATGAGAATGCTGTGTCCATAAGTTATATAACTATGATTATTCTTTTTTCAAAAACTGTTATCTCTTCATTTTTACACTAAGGAAGTATGATCCATATCACCTATTTATACCATTTTTTGTTTGTTTGTTGTCTGTAATTTCAATCTTAGAGTAGGCTATTCAGCTGTACCTCTGAAATAGTGCAAGCTTTAGAAGAGTTTGGTGGCTCCCTGCCATTGCCCCTGAGGGAAGGAGATGAAAGCTGATGGAAACTGGAAGATTTAGATATATAGTGGAGATTCTAATTCTATGAGTTATATCTTCTTTGGAAGGAGATCATAGAATTGCTGAAAAGTCAAGTATGGTTTTATAGTGATTTTAAGGTCATGGGTTCTCTCAGATTGGACCAGTGAGCTTCGCTCTGGGTAAGGCTGGAATCAATATCCTGAACACCCCTCACAAATATACACCTCTAGTCATAAGAATTACTGAGCAAGAGAATTTGAATGGAGTGGCACATTCTATTATTTCTGTTGGAAAAAGAACTCAAGCTTTATGTGTAACTGGTGGTGGATCATTAATTTTATATTCACATCTGAAAAATAGCATTTTTTATTACCTGAAAGATGTCAGAAATATTGCCTTTAAAAGGACTCAAATGGGTTTTATTTTCTTAAAGAAAGAAATCTCATGATACTTCAGTGCCTTTAAATATCTTAACATTGGCACAAAATAAGTAGGTTTAGCATGGCTTTTCAAATCTGTTCTTTGTTGTCTTTTTAAGTTGGTTTGAATCAGTGACTATTTCCATAGTGGGATATACTTAAAGATCTGTTAGTACTAAAGATTTAAAATAAAACATAATATCTAAAAAATAGTCACAGTTTGCTTATTTCTAGTTTCTTGTATTTGTCTGACAGCAACTTGACTGTTTGAAAGTGAAATACTGAATTAAATTTCTTTTAGCATTTAAAAATACCTGGTTTAAGGGTAAGCTGGGATGAAGTGAGAGAGTCGCATTGACATATATGCACTACCAAATGTAAAATAGATAACTAGTGGGAAGCAGCTGCATAGCACAGGGAGATCAGCTTGGTGCTTTGTGACCACCTATAGGGGTGGGATAGAGAGGGTGGGAGGGAGACGCAAGAAGGAGGGGATATGGGGATATATGTATACATATAGCTGATTCACTTTGTTATACAGCAGAAACTAACACACCATTGTAAAGCAATTATACTCCAATAAACATGTTAAAAAAAAACAACAACCTGGTTTTGCTTTCAATTCATATTGTTCAGAGTGAATTAATTGTTTTAGCTCCACGCAGGCAGCTTGAGTTTTTATACTACTTATTGTGAGTGCATTAAAATAATATTATTGGAAAAGTTTTAAACATGGAATTATTGCATCTTGGTTGTTCTTTACTGGGTATTTGAAGCATAGTTGTGAATGTTAATGTGTGGCTACACTCTTAGAAAGAAGAAAAAATATTATGTGTATGCAATGAATTATTTAGTTCACTGTCCAACAAAGTTAATTGAAAAACTGGTTGATAAGCTCATATTCTAGAAATTTCATAGGCAAAGGAATGAGCAGATTTTTAGTGCTAAGAGATCCTCTGATCCCTATATTGTTTTACATCCTAGAATTTTAAATAAGAAAATACTCCTTTAACTTACGAGTTTTTGAGTCTAAGACCTTTAGCCTTAAAGTTCCAAGATGAAATTGTACTCTTCTATCTTGAAATTTTTGTGCTAAGTGAATATTTCAGATTAAAGCACATAGCAAATATCAATCAACAAATTTTATACTTCTATGACTAGGAAAATATTTACGGAACATAATTCCAAATGCAAGTATTGTTTATAACTCTCTCTGTTGAAACATGTTGATCACGTTTGTGTTTTCTCTGACATGAGAGTTTTTTATGGGAAATAAGTGAATTTTATTTTCGAGTCCAGTGTGTTTGTTCACTGAGATGTGTATAGCAACATAACTGTTATTGATACATTTAAAAAGAGAGTAGTGGTGCTTTTAAATTTTGGGTTCCCCATTCTCTTAAAGGTATCCTAATCTACCTTCCTCTCCATCACACACATACTTTGGCATATGATAGTTCTTGTTTTAAATAGACTCTAAATTTCATGTGCTTTTTCCATTGAAATCTTTATTTTTATCATTAAAAGAAAACGCAACCTGAGGTTTTTAATAATCAGATATTTTTCGTAAGAATAGAATGTATTTGCCTTGCAGTATTTAAAAAAACAAAACAGAGCTGTATTTTGCAGCTAAACATTTTTCAAAATCTTATCAGTTCTATCATTTCTAATTAGTAAGTTTGTAAAATTTTTTGCAGAAAATTTGTTAAACCTTGATGTGTAATGACCCAAGTCTACTTCTCAGTCAGTCTGTATCCTTCTTTGTTTAATAGCCTATGGCATAAATTGAAGTTAATTATCAGGGCTGACAGGTAACTCTGTTTTCTGTCTGCTTGCAGAGTCTCTCCGAGGCAAAGATGGAGCTGAGAAGAAAAGATCAATCTCTGCGTCAGCTCAATAGACATCTTACCCAGCTGGAGCAGGACAAGCGTCGACTGGAGGAGAACATCCATGATGCAGAGAGTGCCCTCCGCATGGCAGCCAAGTGAGCATTTGGACCTTGGGGAGATCACTTAAAACAGACAAAAGATCAATTCTTACTTTCATGCTCTGGGTTTTAGCCCTGGATAATACAGTGTTAGAAAACAAAAGTACAGCTGTCTCTCTTTGAAATTCTCTGATATATCCTCAAAAAAGAAAACTCTTAACATACTAAATGTATATTTTATTGAGAAACCTTAGAAAAGAATAAGTTTCTGTATAACCTCTAATGCTGTGTATTTTAGGTTCTGTTGTAGCGTTACATGTTTGAAATCAGGTTTTCATTAACTTGAGATATAAGACTCTTTATTTTAAAGTTTTGAATAGTTTCTCCTGTCACATATTTCTCATCCCTTTCTGCCCCACTGACTCCCAAATTTTCTTCTGCATATATTATACTAATATTGCAAGTAATATTTCCATAAAGAAATGTTAGTATATAATCAACATGTGTATTGTAGCATCTTTTTAAGTGCAGTAAAAACATATTGATCATGGAAAATTCATTTAATTTTATAGCTGTATATTCAAATATGTTAAATAGAGAAGAATATGCAATTTTCAGAGTGGGCAACTATGTAACTGTGATGAGAGTGTTTTTCCTTTTACCAGGTAATCAAGTTGACATACACTGTGAAGTTCAAATTGAATAGTTCTCTTGGGTATTTTTATTTGTTCCCCACATCAAATTTCATGGAGTACTTTAAGACAGTCCTTTTTACAACAGCATGGCTTAAAGAAAATCTATTTATGGATTAAACATCTAATTTTTATAAACTCAGTGTTTTCTAAATTTGGAATTCTGGATTCCTGTACTTGCAAATACATACACACATATACATATATGTATGTATATATATATTTGCAAATGTATAACTATAACTTAAAAATGTTTGGAGACAAACTCTTGTTAAGCATAACATAAGAAATATGAATGTAATGTGTAAACTAAATCATAAAATGGGCAGTTTGCAATCCTAGGATACCCACAGCTTTGTCAGTGGGCTTGGGATATTGCTCACACATAATGAAAAAATGAGTTTACACAATGCCACAATATTGGCATTTTGAATACCCACCAATACATTTTTGGAAAATTGTAAGGCTCTATAACAGTGCACTACCATATTGGTTGTATGTAATTGTCATTTTTAAAAAATATAAGTTTGACTGAATCAGCTTTTTGCTGTCATTTTTCAGTCTCAGTTTCCTCATGTCAAATGAGAAGCTTAGCATAGGTAATTTTTAGTACGTCTCAGAGCATTGAAAATTCTAAGATTAATGAAAACAAGATTATGAAACCTCTAGATTCATATTGTGCCTTCAGAATACTGCTGGTAATTCAGGAATTTGTCAAGTCTGAGATCTGTGACCATGGGCACATGTGCTTATAAGAAAGCTAAAGAAAGCTAATTTGAAATTTGGAGAGCTAATACATTATTTACAGTTTTCAATTTATAATTCACCATTAAAATTTTGTCTTCAGCATTCTCATCCCAACTTTTAATTTCATCATAAAGGCTAAACTCAATATACAAGGCTAGAGAAGAAAATAGTAACTTTGCATATTTCTAGTCAAGGCCATAGAAGGTTTTTGTGTAATTATTATAGCACAAAAAACCCATGGAGAAGGGAAAATATTATTGTGCCCAGTATGACCATTTATATCTCCAGCACTAGTATTTCTAAAGTCTTTTTCATTAGAAGCCAAAAGAATGCACGTTTAGCCTTTTCAGCACATTTTAAATCAATAATGTAATCACATGATTTCTTTTTTTCTTTCTTTCTTTTTCACTCTCTTTTAACTTTGAAAATATCCGTAAGAATTATTCCCCCCTCTAATTTTTGGCAGGCAGTATAACTGAAGATAAGAATTAAAAGCGGAAATATACTAGTGAATATGGTTAGGTTTTACACTTTAGGAAAAACCAACCCTTATTTTTCAGTAATAGTCACTTATACTAAAATGTGTTACAATTATAGTAAGGTTTGGGTTTTACTAACACCTAATCTTTATTTTGTTTCTAGGGACAAAGAATGTGTTGCTAATCATATGAGAACAGTAGAAAATGTGCTTCATAAGGTATTATAATTTTTTTTCAATATTGTTCAAATTGCATTATGACACAGTTCTCCTAGTCATTAATTTTATTAACTGCAAAGTACTTTAATTCATTTTGTAGCTTTCTTTAAAAATAAATTAACAAAAGGATCCTTTCAAATGACTGAAAATTTGTATTGAACAATACTATATTGCATAACTTTTTTCAGAATTCACTTTATGTATGTGATAAAACTATGAAAATAGTGTTTTCCCCAAACTGGTATAATTGCACTTGAGTTATTTGTGGTCTTTGCTGACTGAACTAGAGGTCATTAAGATTCATATATGTCTCATAATGATAAAATGTTTGACCACACTGTCTAACCTCTTACCACTCTTAAACCTACTATCCTATATACATATATTAATATATAGAGAGAGACATAAAGTATTGTATTTGGCAGTACTCATATACCTTAACCTAGGCAGTAATGTTTTTCAAGTTGTAATTTACCTTTTTATAGGAACGTATTCTTAAAGTAGAAATTGAATATACTTAATAATAGTCTGTTATTTTCAATCTGATTACTTCTGTATGATAAATTGACTTTTAGTTTGTAGTGATGAACAGCATAATAAGGATATTACAATATTACTAAAAACTTAATATCGTTAAGTATTGACTCAATACTGACTGTGTACTTTGTTAGCACTCCAGATTCGAAGATGTCTCATTATTTCATTATTTAAAAGTAGAGAAATGTTATTTGTTTCTGTTATTATTTAACAGACAATTTGTTGGAATAATGTAAATACCTAGTACTTTTAAGATATATGGAATTTATGAATGAATCATATTTAGAATAATTTTGTGAATCAAATTTTTTATACAATATAGTTTTAAAATCACTTAAAAATATCCTAAAAACTAATCCTGTTAAGGAAATACAAAATAACATCAATAAACATATTTAATACATTTTAACGTTTTAAAAACAATGGACCTCTGTATTCTTTGATATTGAAAGTGACTAGCAAAAAGTGACTCACAGAAAGTATTCTGAAAAAAGGAATCTAATACTCTGAGTGCTATTTTTAAGCAATATTATTTGAAATTGTGATTTCTCCTCCTTCCCACTTAAAAAAATTTAGCCTGTCGGTATAGTTTAAATATAATCACATCAAATCCATACATGCTAGAAATCTGAAATTTAGGTTTGTAGGAAAAGAGACATCTTTGGTTAGATTTTTTTTGGTATATGGTGAGACTTTCGATAGGAAAAATAAATTATGTCATGTATATGGCATACCTTTTTATACCAGTTAATGTTGCCTTTGAAATCAATTGTCATCTCCCCAGACAGAGGAAAGTAATGTTGGTTAGCAGCTGTTTTGGGAATGGACTTTGATATCAAACAAAAACCATCATCAATGTGAAATATAAATGTTGTACCTTACCCTTTCATTATGAGAATGGCAAAATATGTATTTTAAATACAATAAAGACTGATTGCAACAGGACAGTTGTAATCATACACTTCTTCATTTGCAGTTCTTTTGATTTTCGTGTCATATGGAAAGAAAGATGTCTGCAGAATTGGCCTACAACCACTGTAGATTTACTTTTGCTCTATGGCTTTTTAATCTCCCTTCAGATGTAATAGTTAGTTACTTTGATTTAAGTCTCTGGAAATTTCTATATGTATAGTGATTTTAAAATTATCAATTACTTTTCAAGCTTGAAGTGAAAATTTAGGAAAGGCTAATTGGTTATTGGGCTAATTCTCTTTTCTACGAAGTATGGGTGAGAATGAATGGGTGATAAGGAAGAGACCCAGAGGGTACCTCTGAAGCTCTCAGGAAGGTGCAGCCCACCTGTCTTCAAGCCAGAGTTTGCAGGTTTATTTTTTTTGGCCACTGTGGACTGTCCAGTGGCATTTTGCTGTCTTGGAGAATCTAAGAGTAGTATAGAAGGAGGGTCCAGGCTCTTTCATGGTACAGTAAAAATGACTGGGGTTACATCCAAGCTCTTCAGCATAGTTTACTGTACATAGTCAAATAGTATAGCTATTCATATTTCTTAACCACATACGTTTGCAAGGTATGCACCAGTTATTCTAGAATAAAACCAAATTTTAACCTGCTGAATTGAATTTTAATACTAACTTCTGACACAATAATCAAATAGAAAGAACTTACTTTCATGTAGAAATTATTTTCTTGTACTTTAAAGAACTTAAACTAAACATGTTTGCTTTTAGGAAAAGTGATTACTTTTTGGATATTTGTTAATTTTTAACTTTGACGCATTAACATTCAACTTTTCAAATCCTAAAACTGTATTATACACAGCTGTTGACTGTATATTATTTTTAAAATCCCATTTGGGACTGATACTAGTATTAAATAAAGAAGGCTAGTCATTTTTTATTTAAAAGCATATACTTTTTTTTTCAAAGAAACAGAAGTTTTTTTAAAAAAATTACATTTAAATATATTTTATTTATGGCTGTTTTAAATATAGGCCAGAAGTTAACTTTTTATTAAGAAACTTTTTGGGGGCTTATTTCAGGTTATTTGGGGTTAAGAAAAGTAAGACAAAGAGAAAAACAAAATCATTACAACTTTTCATGAGGTACATTTTTTTTAATACACACACTTTTCTATTTAGTTGAATTCTGAACTACTTTTTGTATTTTAGAAAAAACATAACTATTGAACTTTAAAAAAAAATCACCATTTAAACCATTTAAAAAATGTACGGTTCAGTGGCTTTCAATGTATTTACAATGTTGTGCAACCATCACAGCTATCTAACTCCAGAATATTTTTATCACCCCCAAAAGAAACCCAGTAGCCATTAAGCAGTCACTCCTATACCCCTTCATCCCATTCTGTGGGTTGTCTTTTTACTTTTTTGTTTGTGTCCTTTGATCAACAAAAGTTTTGAACTTTGATGAAGTCCAGTTTTTTCTTTTGTTGCTCATGTGTTTGGTCTCATATCTAAGAATGCATTGCCAAATCCAAGGTCATGAAGATTTTACCCTATGTTTTCTTCAAAGAGTTTTATAGTGTTAACTCTCATATCTAGGTCTTTGGTCCATATTGAGTTAATTTTTGTATGTGGTATGATGCAAGGATCCAACTTCACTCTTTTCCATGGATATCCAGTTATCCCAGCACCATTTATTAAAAAGACTGTTCTTTCCCTCCATTCAGTAATCTTAGTAGCCTTAGTGAAAGTCAGTTGACTATATCAATTGACAAATCAATTGATCATATGAAAATATAACTGATTTTGGGGTGTTGATCTTATATACTGCAACTTTGCTGAATTTATTAGCTCTAATAACTTTTTTGTGGATTCTTTAAGACTTTCTGTATATAAGATTATGATATCTACAAATAAAAGATAGTTGTACCTCTTTCTAATTTGGATGCCTGCCCTCCTCCCTCCCTTCCTCCCTCTCTTCCTTTTCTTTCCCTCCCTCCCTCCCTTTATTCCTTTATTTCATCTCATTGCCTGACTAGAACTTCCAGTCCTAGCCATATGATAATATGATGACAACAGACTTTCTTGTGTGTTGTTCCTAATCTTATGGGGAAAGCTTTTGGTCTTGCACCATTAAATGTTATAGACGTCCTGTATCAGATTGAGGAAGTTCTTTCCTGTTTCTAGTATTTTGAAGTTTTCTTGTCATGAAAGGGTGTTGTTGCGTTTTGTCATATGCTCTTTCTGCATCAAATGAGATGATTTTTTAAAAAAAATCTTCATTCTGCTAATGTTGTGTACTGCATAGATTGACTTATATATGTTAAACCATCTTTGCATTTCTGGTATAAACACCACTTCATTGTGGAGTATAATCATTTGAATATGCTGCTAGATTTGGTTTGCTAGTATTTTTTGAGGATTTTTGCACCTATGATCATAAGAGATATTGGTCTGCAGTTTTCCTGTTATATCTTTGTCTGGCTTTGGTTTCAGAGTAATACTGGCCTCATAGAATGAATTTAGGAGTAGCCCCTCCACTTCAATTTTTTTGGGAGACTTTGAGAAAGATTGGTGTTAATTGTTTAAATTTTTGGTAGAATTTACCAGTAAAGCTGTCTGGTCCTGCGATTTTCTTTGCTGGAAGCTTTTTGAATACTGATTCAATCTCTTTCCTTGTAATAAATCTATTTAGATTATCCGTTTCTTTTTGATTCAGCTTTGGTAGTTCATGTGTTTCTAGGAATTTATCTTTTTCATCTAGGTTATCTAATTTGTTGACATAAAGCTGTTCATTTTCTTAGAATTGTTTTATTTCTATAAGGTCAGTAGTAAAATGTCCCCAATCTAATTCTAATTTTAGTAATTTATTAATCTTTTTTTCTTGGTGAGTCTAGTTAAGGTTTGTCAATTTTGTTGATCTTTTCAAGGAACCAAATTTGGTTTTCTTGATTTGCTCTATTATTTTTCTGTTCTCTATTGTGTTTATCTCTGTTCCAATCTTTATTATTTCCTTCCTTTTGTTTGCTTTGGGTTTAGTTTGATCCTCTTTTTCCAGTTCCCTCAGATAGAAGGTTAGGTTATTGATTTGAGATCTTTGTTCTTTTTACATGTAGGCGTTTAAGCCATAAATTTCCATGTGAACACTGCTGTCACTGCTTCCCATAAGTTTTGGTATGTTGTGTTTTTGTTTTCATTTATCTCAAAGTATTTTCTAATTTCTCTGTGATTTCTTCTTTGACCTATTCATTATTTAAGAGTGTGTTGTTTAATTTCCAAAATATTTGGGCATTTTCCAGATATCTTTTTGCTATTTAGTTCTAAGGTAATTCTGTATGGTTTGAAATAGTTTATAAGTATTGTTTTATGTAGTTGTCTTTTAAATCATATAGGAAAAAAGAGGAGTTACAAATCATAAATACATTAATACTGACTTTTATATTTATGTATTCAGTTTCCTTCACTGGTATTCTTGACTTCTTCTTGTGGATTTGAGTTACTGTCTAGTGTTCTTTCATTTCAGACCAAAGGACTCCCTTTAGCCTTT